TTTAATGTGTGGTAGTGTTTTCTTTTTCTTAGCTTGTACTGGGTGTGCTGTCAAGAGTTGAATGATCAAGCACTTTTTAATAAAGTTGTGTAGGTATTCATTTTGCTGGAGGACATTGTCTAGTAGAGACTCTAGAAGGTTATTCCCTTTATCTGGCATTTTGGATTATTGCAACGTGTTTGTATGCCTCAAAATTATATCTCTACACAACTCTTTTTGTAGGATTGGTATTGGAGGAGTTGGCTAATGTGGGTTGTTTTTCAATAGACTTGTGTTTCTATTTTGTCATTGTTTTTTCTGCTGATGAGGATATCCAGGAAGGGTAGTGTGGTTTTTTTCCCTTTTTCCCTTGTGAATTTTATTTCTTTGAAGATGTTGTTGATTCATGTGTCTTTTCTAGTTGTTTCTTTTTTATTATGATGGGGTATCATCTACATATTAAAACTGTATTTGGGATGCAGCTGCTTTATGGACTCTGCTACGAGTCCTGAGAGTGGTGGTTTCATAGGTGCTCCTCTGATTTAGTGGTATATTTGTCTATCAAACTGAAAGCAACCAGTGTGGCACAGGTTGATGATGCCCATGATTCTGGATATCTTGATCTTTAGTATATTTGGTTAGATTGGATATGAAGTGTAGTACCGGAAATGTGGCACAAGCCTATCCTGCTATGGAGTGAGTGAGCCATAATTGTACCCTCCTATTTTATGCATTCAGTGAAGCAATGTATCCTGCTGATTATTTTGTGGTCTTGGCTAAGAACTCTTAATTTAGTAAATAATAAATAGATCAGAGTCCACATCCATTTGCTGAAGACAGATATACTTAACAACATATACACACAGCCTGCAACAGCAATGTTTTATTGGCATTACTGCTTACAAAATTATGACTATGAACATGAGTATTCTTATTGTACTATTTATTATCCTATAAAACTTAAACATGTTAAAATGTAACCTAGTTTGGATATTTTTGCTAAAATCCAAGCAGGTCTAATAGCTTGAGCCTAACACACCAGCAGAGTCTGAAGAAATTAAGAGTGAAAGCTGGCATTCAGGAGATGGTTGGGAAGTGAATTTTCACCACAAAACAGATGGCCACTGATTGTGAGGCCTGTGGTCCTAACCCTCAGGCCTGTGGGCTGCCATCTACATGAGGAAAAGGAAACAAAATTAGCATGGGTTTTAAATCAAGAAATCCCAAAAGGACCAGATTAGGCAGATGTAAATACTGTAGAACCATTAAAGAACAAAAGGCCATAATCTTTTAACAAGAAGGAACAGGGTGAACAAGGAAATGATGACCAGGTAAGAAAAGAAACATACGTAGAAATCTTAGGGCAGTAAACTGGAATTAGGAGGCAAATACAAAGCAGGTTTATGATGAATACAGTTTTAATCTGGACTGCAAAAAGGTCACCAGGAAATTTATCTATTTGTTTGTCAATTTTCTAGACTGCTCATTTCCAAAAGGATACTGGGCAACTTCACCAAATAAAAACAGAAGGAAAACAACTTTACAAAAAGGGCAACAGTCACCCCAAGAAATATATATAATACCCTCCTTATGTCAGCCTGAGCCTAAAGGAGCCCATCAAACTTCTTAACACAAAGCCAGAGAAAAGAACTAAATATTTAGGCATTTATTTTATATAAATATGAGAGTCAGTTTGGTCTACTGGTTAAGGCACTAAGCTAGAAACCAGGAACCTGTGAGTTCTAATCCTACATTAGACATGAAAGCTGGTGGGATGACCTTGGGCCGGTCACTATTTCTCTCAGCCTAGCCCACTTCACAGTGTTGTTGTTTTGGGGGGAAAAATAGGTGAAAGGTGTGCTCAATATGTTTGCCACTTTAAGTTGTAAGTAAAAATTATAAAGGTGGGATACAATTTTAAAAAAAATATGAAATTGCTTTCATCCCATCATCACTGCCCACAATATAAATTTAAAGTTGTCTGTGGCTGTTCTAGTTTTAAATAGTATTTTCCCATTTGTTTCTAGCAGTAGCGTACTTCATTGATAAAGGGATTGCAATTGGGATAAGCAGCTAGAATCTGTCCAGCTCCTATTATCAACTTCAGGCTGCTATGGACAATACCTCTCTCCTTTGGTCATGGATTTCTATGCCCGTTTTCACTTGGCTGCAATTAAGAAGAAACTGGGCACCTGAGGTCCATAGAAGCATCTGGCCATGTGGGGCTGGAGCAGCACTTTTTGAAATTTGTATCAAGTCTTATTGGGGACTCTTTATTGATATGGCTTTAATGGTCTTCTGAAAGAGCACTAGAACCAATTTAAATCAAGAAAGAGAGCCAGATTTTGATAGCTGTGTGTTGCCAATGAGTTCATTACTGATTTTCCATTGTTAAGAAATAATTTCATACCACTATACTTTTTACAGTTTTTATTTTTTGGGGGGGCAAGGGGACTATTGCAGGAAGGCACAGAGGAACAGCATATGGTAAAGAGGGTAATCATCCCTGATACACTTCTTAACTCCTCCTGTGAACCTGTATCCTGTTAGTTGGGCTATTTTTGAAGATAAATTGAAGGTTGTTTTGAAAGAATGCACAAGGCTGGCTGGTTGCAAGTGCCCAGCGTCCTCCTTTCACCAGGATACCTCTTTTTTATCTGACTTGTCAGCCACAAACATTAACCATTAAAAAAAAAAAGATATTCAGAAACAGACATCAACAACTTTTTAAAGTATGCTTTTGAATATAGGTAGTCCTTGACTTGCAACCATTTGTTTAGTGATCAAAGTTAAAGTGGCACTGAAAAAAGTGACTTATGAATGTTTTTTTTTTTTTTCATATTTACGACTGTTGCAGCTTCTCAATGGTCACAGGACCAAAATTTGGATGCTTGGAAACCAGCATGTATTTATGATGGTTGCAGGATCCCAGAATCATGTGATCACCTTTTATGTCCTGCTAACAAACGAAGTCAATGGGGAAGTTCATTAGTAACTTAACTGCAGGGATTCACTTAACAGCTGTGAAAAGAAAGGCTGTAAAATGGGGCAAAACTGACTTAATGTCTTACTTAACAACAAAAATGTTGGGCTCAATTGTGATTTTAAGTAGCGAACTACCTGTGCTCTTAAAATCTCTATTCACCAACCTCATTTGTATTTATGCTGTTTGAGAAAGGTCAGATTCAGGTATGCTAAAGCAACTGCTGGTTTCCATATTAGGAAGTGGAACAAGATGAGAAACGTTTCGCTACTATATACTCAAGTTTTCATAAAACACTTTTAAGTATGCATAGAATATCTGAGTTAAAGTTCAGTTTAAATCTGTTCAAGAATGAAATGTGTTCAGCATTATGATTGAACAGTAAATCATCGGGTTTTATTTGTTCTGCCCAAAAGTGTCTTTGGAGGCAGATTTTTTTTTTGAAAAGTTTTTTATTTTTTTAAAGAAACATACAGAAAACACAAACATAAAACATAAAATCATCTTCGGTTACATACAGTGTGTCGGTTGGTACTAGTCTCTTGTGCGCAATCTCTACAGTCATTCCCTTCTAAATACTTTTTAATCCTCATATATGTTATATATATTTCTGATATAATCATTATTATTTAATAGACTTACTTGCATTTCATCATTTTATGTGAGCAAATCCCCATTTTAACTTAGCCTACTTTATAACGTTCATTTCATCATCACCATTTATTCAATCATATTTTATCCTTACAATACTTTATCTCTAAAAATTCTATTATACTTATATTATAGAGTATTATAAAACATTCCACTTCCATATTTTATTATCTAACCATTGATAAAATAAGTCCCATATTTTATAAAATTGTTTATCTTCTTGCTCTCTAATTTCAAAGGTCAGTTTACTCATTTCTGCGCAGTCCATACTTTTCTTGATAACTTCCTCCAATTTGGAGGCAGATTTTGAGGGTCCCACAGTAGTTCCACAGATTTAGAGACACCTATAGAAGCTTAATCCCTCCTTGCTTGCCAACTATGGGCAATAGTAGATGAACCTTTTGAGATCTCTGTACAATCTCAAAAAAGGATTTACATATCCAATACTTTTCCATTCTCCTCCTTTGTCACATTGGGCTCAAACTTCTTTTTTTATGTAACTATACTTCAGGAATCTTTCTGTGGACCATGTCTGTCCCTCACAGCCAGTCATTCAACACGCTAACGCTCCCTGGGACAAACCTGCCCTTTTTGGCAATGCTGTATGGTATTCTATTGCCAATGGTGCTATTAATTTATAGTTTGACTGAATTATATCGGCTAACCTAGCAGGCAGGTTGCCATCTTTCCAGCTCTAATTTGTGTAATAGGGCTGCTGACCTCAGGATGACTAACAGGTAAAAAAAAAGGCAGACAGGTCCCACCCCACCCTTAGAGCCAGCAATCCTCCTCATTTCTTCCTCTATTGTATCCTGCCTTGGTTACCTTTACAAATAACTCAAGCAAACATATCCAAACACACCTTCCTGCTTATTTTCCGCACAACAATCCTGCGAGGTGAATCGACTGAGATTGACTGGCCCAAGTCATCACTCAGTTGCCTTTCACGACTAAGGCAGCACTTGAACTCACAGTCTCCCCTTTTCAAAGTGGATCCTTAAAATAACAAGGAACTTTAAGGGCAGCAACCCCTGGCATCTTTTCAACGCCCCAAAGGTTGAATCGCACCAATTGTATACCGTTCCTCTGAGACGATGCAGAGTTCTGTAGGAATTTCCCCACCTGGGCGTTTGGTGAAACTACACAAGTGAGAGAGCGAGAGAGTCTCTCTAGACCGGGTCAGACCAACCAGACTCTCGTTTCTTTCAACTCCTGGGATGGGATTTGTTGTCTCGGACACAGCCAGAAGGCAGAAATGAGAGAAGAGGCGGGGACGAAAACAGCCCGAGCGCCAGCTACAAAACCAGGTCTGGAATCGCAGCGCCACACAGAACCTGGGCAAGGGGGTGAGCCGAGAGAAGCGGGACGGGCTCCTGGTACGTAAGGCGAGAGCTCGGATACTCGACACCCAAAGATTTCTCCGCCAGCCGAGAGCGAGGCCACGGCGGTGATTTATTAGCCTGCAATCTGGTTGCCCAGAGGGCCTGATAAGCACCCTGAATGGAGCCTGATGTCATGCTCGTGTCAAGCGGGTAGCTTCCCACAACAGAAAGCCCGGGAGCGTCACTCGAGGAAGAGGGGAAGAGAGAGAGAGAGAAAGGGACCTTGCTCAGTCTCGCCTCTCCCCCGCGTCGTTCCCAGCCTCGCCACGACACGCCCCCCCCCCCCTTCCGCCACCCGCGCCCGCCACCTCAACTTTCGGCTCCGGCCGGTGGGAGAAAGGGGTCCCAGGGGCCGCCGGACGGCCAATCCCGCCGGCTCCTCAGCTCCGCCGAGCTCCGACCTTCTTGGAAGGGAGGAGCGCCTAGTTGCCCTACCTAAAGCAGGTAAGCGTTGGGGCTTGGGGTCCTCGCTGGGGACGCGGGCTCCGCTCTTCTGCGGAGGGAGTTCTAGTTCTCAGCCGAGCCCAGCCCGGGGTCTCTTCTTCTGCCGACCCAGAAGATAACTTGAAGCGTGGAAGAGGGGCGCGGGGGCCTCGCCGCTGGTTTCTTTCAGAAACGGCAGCGGCGGGGAAGGTGGGGAAGGAATGCCTTAAAATACAAAGCAGCCCTCCCTGCTTCCTGTTAGACGGCTCTCCTTCTTCGCTTCTGCTTTGTATGGGAACTGGCGCGGTCAGGTCATCTTAACACTCGCCAGAAGTATGGAGCCGCTGCATGATGGTCCCAGGTCTTTTCTAAAAGTATAACTTAAGGGTGGTGATAGGTGTTGGGTGTGGATGTGTGTGTGCGTGCACTAGGCGATTAAGTATACGGATGTGTGCGTTTGGATTATCCGATGTTGTTTCTTTAACAAAACAAAACACAGCAAGGAGAAGCTTAAAGCTTTAAAAACCAATCTGGAACATTCTTTCATGTTTTGTTTGAAGAGTGTGGTTGAGGAAAGAGGAAAACAAAATAGCCCCTCCCCAAAAGGTGGTAAAGGGCACCCAGGGGCTTAATATGGTGACTGGGAATTTGCAAGGCAAAAGAGGGATTCTTTAATGGTTGGTGTATTACACTCTCTCCCGACCCCCCTCTCTCCCTCCCTCCCTCAAACCTTTTGGCTGGCTGGAGTGGATAGGAGCATGACATTGAACAATATAGGTTATCCCTAAGGCATTGGGAAGAAAAGAAAACTACAAATGTGCCTGAGAATTTTTTTCCCCAAGCCATTTGGTGGTACTTCATGTTGCCATAAAGGGTGGAGAATTGTGGTGAGTCGACTTTAAAAACCAAGCTACCTTATGGATTCTTCTTTCTGGTTTCAAGTAGGGGTTCTAGGGAATTTGTACAACTGTCCTAAGATGCAGAACTCTTGAGTACAGACAACATTCACAGGGGTTATGAGTTAGCCAAAAGAGAACATTTGCTTTTTGCCTCTTTTCTGCAAACAAACATGAACTAAATTAAACTGGGACTTTGCTTCTTGACTAGGGAATATAGAAGGTAGAATAATGGGGTTGGAAGGGACCTTGAAGGTCTTCTAGTACTTTCCTAGGCAAAATGAGTGAAGTTGGAATCTGTGTGAGTATGTATCTTTAAGTCAGTGTTGATTTCTAGTGTCTGCCTGGACAACACCCTGAAGTTTTCTTAGCAACTTTTCAGAGATGACTTGCCATTACTTCCTTATTAGGGCTGAGGCAGATTGAATGGCCCAAGGTCACGCAGCTGATTTTGTGCCTCAAGCAGGACTACAGTCTCCCGGGGCCTAACCTGTTGTTTTAACCACCACACCAAACTGACTATCTTGAAGTAATAATGCATAAGCTGTTACAAGCTGTTTCCATGACCTTATCAAGGTTCCTTATCAAAATACTCAACTGATAACATTGCAGAATTGTTTAGTCACTTTGACATCTGGAGCCAGAGAAGGAATAAACATACAGTAAGTGTTTCCCAGTCAGGTAACCTTGATATATTTGGTTTACAATTCTTGTTGTTTCTGACTTTCAATCTTTGTGGCTAAGGCTCATAGGAGTTGCTGTCAAAACCATCTGATGAACATCAATTGAGAAATGCCAGTGTGTATGCTCTTGGAATTAGGCCAATATATAATATAGACTGATAACTTCAGTCAGTGTTATGGATACTGTTTGACCTCTCAAAGCAGGTCTGCAGAATTCAGCCTATCATAAACTGTCAATCACAATATACTCCAGTCTGCATTACAGGGTTATGCATTTGCCCTAGAACCTTAGCAAGACCTGTGGACTTCAAATCCCAGAATTCCCTAGCTAGAATTCTGTGAGTTGGAAGTTCACAAGTATTAAAGTTGCCAAGGTTGGACACTCCTTCTCTAGAATTTGCACAACCAGGCATAGGTTTAAAAATGTTTCATACTGGATGTGATATTTTGGCTATGTTTGCATCACATACTGAAGCACAAACTTATCAACTACATTTCAGCCTTATGCAGCACATGAATTTGGCCACTGAGATTAATTTCTTGTTCATTGTATCAGGGAAACCCAGGATATTGAGTGATATAGTTCAGTTCATTATAGATAAGGATGGTGAGTGAACATTGCCACTATTTGTTATATTCAGCTGTGCTTTTTTAAGTTAACTAAGTAGATCACCAAACTCAGTTTCTGAAAGTTTGATATATACAATTTATTAGGAGCAGAATTGTAGATCTGAATATTCTTTGCAGGCAGATAGAGGTAGTTTGTGCTTTTAGGTAGAGGATGTATATATGCATATATGTCTTCATCGTCACCTGTTCCATAATGTCTATGTTACTTCTGTTTCACTGTTGATTTGTTCTATGGGCATCACTTGCTATTCTCACTTTTGCCTTTTGGTCTATATGAGCTGACCAAACCTGCATAATCTTGCTAAGGACTTTGTGTGGTAATCAAGCATATTTAAGATCATGTTGTTGCTCTTTCCTAAGACATCCTTGTGGGTTTGGAGCCATGAAGAAAAGAGTCCCTGAAATCTGTAAGGCAGGGGTGTCAAACTCAAGGCCCAGGCCCCAATCTGGCTGCGGGGTGGTTAGATCTGGCCCGCAGAGCCACCCTGGAAACAGCAAGGACTGGCCTGCGGTGCCTCTGGCAGCAAAAACGTGGCCCTCCCGAGCTCCGTTTTCGGATGGGATGGCCTCTGCCAGTGAAAACAGAGCTTGGGAGGGCTGCCCTCTTGACCTCCATTTTCACTGGCAAAGGATTGCAGGAGGCTGTCCCAGCCAAAAATGGAGCTTGGGAGGCCGTGGTTGCTGGCATAGTACTCGGGCTGCCACAGGCGCCCCTGACACGAGTGATATCAACCTGTCCAGGGCCATCCTGGCCACGGTGATCTTGGCCCCCTGAGATCAAACACAGTCCTGATGTGGCCCTCAATGAAATCGAGTTTGACATCCCTGCTATAAGGCATGTATATGAACAGTCGTTAAAGTGCAGTATTGCAGGCTATCTCTGCCCATAGCCCATAGAGTTTGATCTTGACAGGGCTCAAGGTTGACTCAGCCCTCCATCCTTCCGAGGTTGGTAAAATGAGGACCCAAATTGTTGGGGACAATATGCTGATAACTGCCCAGAGAATGCTGTAAAGCACTGTGGGCAGTATATAAGTCTAAATGCTATTCCTTTTGCTATTTTATGCCTTCTTTTCCCCTCCTGCCAGCCAAAAGAAATAATTGCTCACTGCTTCCTCCTTCCTCTGCCATTTCTACCTCTCCTGCCTACAGAGGAGAGATTCATCTGGAAGCAGCCAACCTCCTTCAGACAGAGCCAGTAATTGCTTCTAGGTACCTTGGAAATGGTGCCTGTTTCTTACAAAGGTGTGAATCATAGAAGAAAGGAATTTCTGGGCCTTTGTGGGCTGTTCTGCAGTTTGCCTGTTTGCCTTGGAAAGAAAAACTAACTATAGAAATAAAGCAACTTTTCCCATTATTTCTGTACTCTTTGAAAGCTATTGGGGAGAGGGGGAATATATTTGTGTGTAAACTGTGCTTGGTTTGTGTTGTCTACGGATGCAATGAGGACGCAGCTCACAAATGCATCTGGGGTAATGTATCATTTGGTACAAGTGGAGAAATGGAAACAGAAGTGTTTAATAAAATTGTACTCCTGGCCTGCCATGGAAACCAGATGTCAGAACTGCGGCTTCTCATAGGCCCTTGATGTCGTTGCCCTCAAGCAATGTTTCCAACCTCTCCTGAAAATGCCACATGTTATTTGCAAAGGGAATCTGGGAAAAGTAGATCCGGGAAAGCTCAGGCCTTTAATCCATCTCAAGCGACGCTGCCTTTCCCAACCAGCAGTGGATTTCAAACAGAGGTGCTTTTTATTTCCCCTGCTAAGTGAAGATGAGTGGAGGAGAAGCCTGCTGCATTCTTACAATGAAATAAGCATGTTAACCTGGGTCTTCAGTTCCTCCCTAGATAGCTGTTCTAGAGAAAACTAAGATAAATCTCAGGTACCGCAACAAGGGTAAGCAAATGTTTTAATCAAGAGCTGCCATGTAGAGAGCCTTCTTCTAATTTATTGTAGAATGCAGAGTTTCTATTTTTGTTTTGCACATAGTGATTATTACTGGTCAGGGAATGTAGGCTTGAAAGCTGCTTGGTGCTGTCCTTTCATCAAATGATTTATCTGACCAGATGTGATTCAGTGCCATCTTCCAGAGAACACCTTTAGAAGTACGAGAAGCTTCCTAGTGATGCCTCCTACAAATTACACATTTGTAATTGCATCTGGGGGCTATAACATATCAATGAGCATTGTACAAGAAATGAATTCTGATTGGTGAGAATGATATCATGGATCTTCTCCCCCATTCCTTTTAGAGTCATAGATGGGGGGAAAGGCATATCCATTGTAGTCTTTTATGAAGTACTAGCTCGATACCCGTGCTTCGCTACGAAACTATGTGATTGGGCTTAGTTTTGGGGAGGAAAATAAGGGAAAAAAATTCTGCCTTTCCCTACCAGCATCCATCGATATTCATCTGGCTAGCGTCCTGTCAGTGTGTGAGAGAGTTGAGGGCTGTTTGGAAACTGAAATAGTATTTGCTATGTGAGCAAGAAGGAGACAGCATGGAGCCTGGACGTGGCTTAGCTCGACTGTTCTGTACTAAAGTTGCTTGGTGCTGTGAAAGTAAAACTGAAACTGAAACTCCTCTGCTTGTGTTTTGCATTTCGAATAGATTTCTTTTCAGGTGGGGAGGGGGAGTAGAACTCCTTAGCATTAGAGTGTGTTAATAATAATATATGAAATAATGCTCCGATGGTCATTTTCAAAAAATCCTTTCTTAATGAGCACCTAGAAGCCAAGAGGAACATACATGCCAAATTTCAAGTTTGTAGGCTTTACGGTTCTGGAGATTTTTTGATGATGCGTGAGTGG